ACAGATTTCCCACATTATTTGTTGTTTTTTTTTTTTTAACAGAATGATTGGGCACTTGTGCTGGTAAGCAGGTTAGGCACCAAATCATGGATTTCAGCTGTTTTGACTGTGAAGGAGTACAACAAACACATTTTCCCTTCTTGCAGAAGAACTTTGTAAAAACTATTCTTTGATGATTTCATTGAACAAAAAAAAAAAAAAAAAAAAAAAAAGGAAGAAAGGAAAAACAGAAAGAGATAATAATTGAATGTAGATGCAGGTTTTGTTCTTAGCAAGTTATGGTTGAGCCCATTCTGCATTGTTCAGAAGAAAGGACTGCTGCATTTCCTCTTCCACAGATGCAAGATTTAGCATCAATTTGTGCCCACTACAAAAGATCAGCTGAGATGGTGATGACAAAGTTGAGAGTCCAGGCCAGGTTGGATGGGGCCCTGGGCAGCTGATCTAGTATTAAATGTGGAGGTTGATGGCCCTGCCTGTGGTGGGAGGGGGGAGAGGGAGTTGGAGCTTCATGATTCTTGAGGTCCCTTCCAATCCAGGCCATTCTATGATTCTGAGAATTTCCCTGGGTATCCTTCCCAAGTTCAGTCTGTGTGATTCTATGTTTTACGTTTTGTGGTGTTTGTGTAAGCATTCTGCTGTCTAACTAATGCAATACCTGGAGAGTGTCTCTCTACCAACAAGGAATTACTGTGGGCCCCCTTCAGGCCTGTGCTGAAGAAATGACTGCTGGAGAATTCTGTGAAGGTCACCATTCACTGGGCAGGCATGCTTTCCCAGTGAGAACTGTGTGCAGTCATTTTGAATCTGGCTGATCAGGGTCCCTGTAACCCACATCTGCCTGTGTTCTCTTGTTTTGAGTTCTCCACATAAAGTTTTTCTCCCAGCCTGTGCTTTTTTTGTCTTAGTTGCTGTTGGGATACTGCAGACTTGGTTAATTTAGTTGTATCTGCTTGTGACAATAAAAATGCCACCACACACATTCTTGCAGAGAATTCAGGCAATGTCACGCTGCTCACTGAAACCAGCCCAGAAATTAGAGTGATGATGTCATGAGACCTAGAAACATATTTTTTTGCTGCCTGAAATTTTCCTGTGTAATGGTATGTCCCTGATATGACCTGCTGGCCACAGTCCTTTTAATGCAGTCCTGTGAATGATGCGTATGATACCAGGACACTAACGTTTACAGTCATGGGCACACCCATACCTCACTCCTAGATGTCCCAATTCACCATGACAGGGCTCAAAGAGAGAAAGTGAGGCCACAGCCAGACCACACCTGCTGTTGTTTTCTTTGATCAAATGGTGTTAATGTTGATTGACTGTGCTGCAAGGATGCTGTTAAAGCAAATGAGTTGAAAGGTTTTTAAAACTCATAGAAATCGGAGTATTGTAAAATACTGTCTGTACTTCAGAGTGAAAGGAGCAAAATCTTAGATCTTGACCGAGCCTTGGCTGCCCTGTCTACACCATCAATTAACTTCTTAAATGGAATGTATCTCCTCAAGACTCCCCACCTTCACCCACAGCAGAGTCCCTGCAGGAGAGATGCTGCAGGATGCTGCTGTTCTGGAATATTCTGCAGGCAGTATCCCGGATTCATACTTGGACAGCTTATCTTAGTCCACCCATAGAGAAACAGCTCCTTTTGATGTTTACCTCTAATCCATTTTTAGAGTGCAATTATGTAAAAAATCATTTGGCATTTGACTGTGAGCTCGTCAGAAATGGTGTAAGAAGAAAAGATTAAAAGAAAAGATAAAAATCCATTTCCCTTTGAAAGCTAAAGATTGTTCTTGTGTTTAAATTGATAAACAAATTAACAAGCAGCAAACTATGCCGGAGTGCAGGGAGGACTAAGTGCCCCCATTGCACTGAGAATTTGAAAGGGGAGGATGTGGTATGTCCAAAGGTGTTGGTCCACACATTGGAGGACTGTCCTTTCCAGGTTGTGGCTGTGTGTGTTCAGATCCATCAAAGACAAAAGACTGTTTATGAGGAAAATAAGAGAGACCATTTATCCATCTCTTTGCTAAGCAGGAGCCAGGAAATAAGAAACATGCAGCAGAGGTTTTTGAAAGCTGAATGTTGAGGAGAAAATGTTGTGTGACAGTGCCAATGATGGGAGGCAGTAATGGGGCGCAGGAAACTGAATGAAGTTTTCTCAGTAGACAGGTTGAAATCAGCAGAGGAAAAAAGACTGCTCTTGGAAAATATTTCTGATTTGTAAGGGGCCTTTGGGACATCTGTGCAGTACTTTTACCTAACAGTAATACAGTGAGTAAAAAAGTCCAAGCATAAGCTCAGTGTAGTTCATGAATTTGAGAATAAAAGCATACTGTGACACTACCTTAGTTTCCCTATTGCATACCTCACCTCATGCTGCAGATCACCTGCGCTTTCATTTCCCATCCTCCAGTGCAGCTTTCTTGCCATTTCTACCTGATAATTAAATGAGTATGATACAGCAATTAATAAACCTACCATTGTTTTCCAAAATTGAAATAAAAGTGGTAATTTGGGTGTTTGGTTTTGTTTTTTTTTTTTTTTCCACCCATATACACAAGTCTAAATTTATATTTCAAATTTAGAACGGAATTGTACCTGTTTGTGTGTTGCTGATTCTGTTCTGGCAAATGCTGAGGTACTTCACACTGTCAGTGATTGATTCTGGGAGGCCAGCTGGACAGTGTCCACATGCAGTTGCCCATCAGGTTTTAAATTATGAAAATCAGTGAAGTTATTCATCCTCAGAAATGCCTGGAGAAGAAAATGGCTCACATTTCTGAGCCATGCATTCAATTTCACAGGGATAGATTAGCCTATCAGAAGAGGTGCCCAGGCTCAACACGAGTTTTTAGAGCTCCACAAGGCCTTGAATCCCTTTCTAGAGCCCACATAAAATGTACAAGGAAATAAAATCCTCTGCAGTGGCAGAGGCAGAACCATGAGAATAGTCCAGCTATATTGAATTAGCTTGAGTCATCTCACAAATAGAGTACTATTAATATATACCCAGAGACTATATTAAATTGGAAGGAGTGGTCAATTAAAAAATCTTATTTTGCTGTGTTGCAGGAATTCTGGGATAGTTCTGCTTAATCAGTAGAGGGAAGTTGAACAGATTTATACCATGGCAAAATTTACTTCTAAGTGGAACTAATTTGTCTACATGAGGGTCATGAAGAGAGTGCAAGATAGCCACGTTCCTGGAAGCCAAGATGGAACTGAGCCTGGAAAACACTCAACTTCTGATGAGAAGGAACTTTAAGATGATGTAGTGTTAAAGAAGGATTATGTTTTATACCTAACCCTCATTTGAAAAGTTTGAGTTTTTTTAAGTCAGCTATCTCATGTCTTCCCAGACTAGAATTTCCTCAGAGTGTGCATTCTCCCTCAATGTACTGCCCCAGGCAGAGAAGCAGAAAGGCAAAGCATTAACTCAAACTTCTCAGTATTATCATAATTCAGATAATAAATGACTTGAAACAGTGTCACTTTCAAACTGCTTTAGTGCAGATGGTCTGTTTCTTAATTCCCTGCCCCATAGTTAGGGAGCTGAGCTTATTGAACCGCTTGCCAATTCTGTTAAGAGGAGACACAGTGAAACGAGATAAAGGCAATATTTCAGTGTGGCTCCCATGCATTGGCTCCTAACCCACAGATGCCATTATTGACATACATTTTACAACTACATCTCTCACCATCAGCAGTTAGAATTGTAAAGAGGTTGAGCATACTTGGCTTGAATGTCAATAATCAATAAGGATGTTCATCTGGCTTAATAAGGATAAATTTTTGCCCTTGAAACAGCATGCCATCCCAGCCAAGTGAGCTAGAATTTGTTCCTTGAGGTTTGTGCTAATTCTGTATTTGTGTACACACACTTCAGTAATAGCTTTCTTTGACCATTATGGATTCCTCTTGCGTGTCTTATAATAATTGTCTTTTTATTAATTCATTTTGGAAACAGTTGTCATATTCCATGGAAAAAAAATGAATGTTCTGTTCACAAAATATATACTTATTAGGCAAGAACAGTTAACATGAAGATCAGTAGATCCCCGGAGATTTACATTTTGGTGCTTTGGTACATTAAACAGGACAGATACTAAATAAAACAGATCAGAACTCATCTTGTGGCCATCATACTGCCCTGTGTGTGCAATCTGTGGCTGACTGGCTCAACTATGGTGTAAAGTGCAATGACTGCATCCAGACTTCCTCACAGGAATTGTCCCAAGCATGTTCAGCAGTACTATCACACCAAGCCAGGCTATGGAGGGAAACATGCAAGTGATGTAATGTTATGGGTAATTGCCTGTGCTGCCTTCATATCTTGACAGTTTTTACTGGCTTAGTACTAATACAGTGTATGACCTCCAAAATGTTTGGTGGCCTCAAGGGTTTTGCAACTTCTGACAAGTTCCCAATGGAGGGATATCCTTCATCTAAATCTCTTTTCAGAAGTGGCAAGAGCTCTGTTGTTTTTGTGGCAGATTCAGACAGATGTATTTCTAAGAAGGTGTAAAAGCTGTAAGCAATATTCAGCATTGTGGGGGCTTGCTGGTAGAATGTTGGGATGTAAGTCAGCAAAATCATCTTCCACTTTGCTACATGGATAGAAGCTTTCCATCTATGAAGCCAGTCCTGTCTGTAGATTTTAAAAGGTAATCCCAGGATGTGATGTTCTGTGTTAATAGTAGTAAAAATAAGTGCTTCAGTGATCCTCAGTAATGGTAAAGCTTTGTTTGTTCCCTGTATCCCGGAAATTAGTATAAGACATTAAATTTTGAGTGTCTTGCCCCAGAACATGAGAACAGCAGACCCTTTTCTTGGCTGGGAGCTGGGTCATGGCAGTGCATCTCAGCTGCGGAAGCTCAGTGTCCCAAAACGCAAAAGTGTGCAGTAGTTTCTGTGGGCTGGAACCAGACACTCTTGTTTCAGTATTTGCTTATGTCACGTTTAACCTTCTGTTTCATTCCCTTTCCTGACAGATTTTTATTGGTGAGATATCGATGTATTTCATAAAATCAACCAGAGAAACCCTAATTATCCAAGAGAAAACTATTTTGACTGGAGAGTGCTGTTACCTGAACCCACTGCTTCGAAGAATCATACGTTTTATAGGTAAGCATCTTTAGCACTGCAAATTTACTTCCTGTTTGCACCAAAATAGAACAAAAGATCCTAACCATCTACAGCACAAAGTTAATTAAGCTGTGAAATCTTTGCAGGTAAATTCCACTTTAGAGGAATTGTCCCCCTCGGGATTTGCAAGGTAATGTTTGAAATGTGCCATATCATGCTGCCTGGGCCTGGTTTATATCCTGCTCTGCTGAGCTTAATGCTTCTTCTGGACCCTTGGAAAAAGGTTATGCCAATCAAATCCTCATATGAATAATTCCATCATTGCTATTCTGTGTACGATAGCCATTTTACTTACAAATCAGTCCTCAGCAGCCCATCTCTTTGGCTTTTTCTTTTTTAGCTCTAATTTTAACTTCTATAGCTCTGGCACATAACGTTCAGCTGAGCACAGCGTAAAAAAGGCCAGAGCCCACATAAAAATAGCATTCATATTTTTATTCTGTGTGGATTCTTTTAAGATATTTTATTGCATTAATTGTTGAGAAAACGGTGAAGAAATTCTATCAATAGAATGTGGAGTTTACTTTCTATTGTACTTAAAAACCACTATGCCCTTTTCACAAGATCAATGTAAAAATGCCTCAGAGACCGCACTGAGGTGACCACCCCCTAAAGCTCCTTTTGGGGCAGGAAGAGGAACGGGGTTGTAGCTTTATTTCTGCCCTGCCACTGGCAGTGAACCTAACTATTCCCTAACAAGGTTTCCAAATCCCAAACTGAATTAAAAGCTGAGCTTTAAAAGTAGTAGCAGAACAAAAAGTTGAAAATACTGGGATCGTTTCTTCCCTGTCATTACTGACTTCTTAAGGAAAAAAAAAAACAAAGGGCTGATGTGACCATGGTGAAGTGTGCATGGTTTCCACAGAGCACGGCCCCGCCTGCAGGTTTTCATACTCAGCAAATAATTGCCACAAAGGTTGAAGAGCAACGGTTTTCTTTCTCCCTCTCCTCTCTGTGCCTCCTGCTCTACGCATGGAGCTTAGGAAGCGCAATGTTTTTTTACCTTCTCACACACTGTGGTGTATGGAGACAAACCACCTGTGGTTCGTTACCCAAGCCTGTCCTGTGTGCTGCTCATTACCACAAAAAGACATTAAAAGCAAAATACCCTTGAACTTCAGATACCCTCTAGGATATATTGATGGACAGTAAACTGCCATTAAGAGAAAAGCAGGGTACTGGACTCCACTGGGCCACTCAGGACTGTTTGGCCGTTGCAGCCCATTCAGCATGCTTTTCAGAGTCCTAATCAAATATTCTTGCCTGCGGGACCAGTACTAAAAGAGGTTAAACTGTGGAGGCTAAGCACTTGCTCTGTATGTTTTCTTATAATTGCACTTTTCTGCCCTGCTTTCACTTAAGCTAGCTTTATTCCTAGACATTTCCTCAACTGTTTTGGTAGAGGAGGAGGGGACAATGATGATACAGTGGGCCCTTAGGAGCAGGATATGAACCTGCTAATGAAATCAATCTTAGCTTTGCATCTTTGTCTTCCAGAGAAAAAGTTGACTTTATTAGAAATAGCTTCAAGTGCTGGTCTCATCTTAAACTACACTGATTGTACACTGTTTTTGTCAGAAACCTCCCTGCTTCTGCCGGGAAATGATTAAAAATCGGGTGAAACCATTTATGAAACAACTAAAAATAACTGCTCTTCCTTTATTGAAATTCCAAATATGTTTGGAAACATGAAAAGGACTGGCCAGCTGCTGCCCACGCTGAAGCATCAGTGAAGTTAGGTTCACACAGGTACTCACTCCAGAAAGAGGTTTACCTGGATGATGTTTCTATGATTCTGTGGATGCTTGGCTATGGAGAGACAAACAAGTTACTCCTGGATTTCCTCACATGAGTCTTTTCTTCCTAATATGAGGTCCAAAAGTAGCAGAAATATAAAGTAGGCTTTCTCCCAAGACATCCTGGCAAGTGGTCTGGCTTGTTACAAGGAACTTTGCTGCCAGTTCAGTCTTGACACAGATTTATTTGAATATTAAAATCTGATCATTCTTTTTGACCCAGACATGGGAGCAAGAAACATCAGTAAGTAACTCCAAAAAGTAGTAATTGAGCTCTGTTGAATATTGCTTCATCTTGTAAGTCATGACAGTTATTATTAAACAGGATGAGAAATACTAGTTGTTGTGCCTGGGTGCTAATATTTAAGGAAAATGAACACTAATTTCAGAAGGGTACATTTTGAGAGCTTTTAGTCTGTCCCTGACTCAATAGCTAAGGATGCAAGGAAAAATGGAGTTTTAAAAATGAGGGAATAAATTTACTTTTCATGTGACAAGCAGAGAGTTTCAGGCTGTCTTTAGTGATATGAAAGGTGGGCACTCACGCCACATTATCACTGCGGGATCTGTTGCATTTATTTGCTAGACTTGAGTTTATTCTCCTCTTGCTTTTACTTCATATATGCAGAATAAAGTATATAGTTTTTTGTACTCAGGTAGTGGTACAAAGAATGAAGCAAAACCAGAATCCCACTGCTCCTCTGGGTTGTTCACAATCCCTCGTGATTCTTTTAATTCATGTTCATACCTTGCCTGTTATGCTTCCTACTTATTCTTCTTTCCCCAGGCCCTTAGCAGCTGTCTGTCCTAGAGTGCTCTCTTTATGAGTTTCATGGGGACTTTAACAATTGAGCTTTATCTTAAATTCCCCCTTGTTTCTTTGTCCACAGAAAAGTGGACAAAAATCTTTTTTCTCCCTGGCCCAAACATGAGTTGTTTTGCCTTTTGTAGTGAAAAAATGCCTCTCAACTTCTTTCAACATATATCAAGTCCTTTATTGCATCCTGGATGGGTGAAAACTGCTGTGTTCCTGTATTTAGAAAATCAATTCCTTTATTAATGAAAGAAAGCAGTTTTAGCTTGGAAACTTCAGACTTTGATATATGTTGCAATTTGTTCCATCTTCCTCTTTTATATTCCTTCTACAGGTATTTATTTTGGAGATTTTCACATCAAACAAGGGGTGTGCACTTGCTTTGGAGTCTTTTTTTTTTTTTTTTTGTCTAAAACATCAGTTCAGCGCTGCTATCCTTTACTCACATCTCTCCCCTCCATCCCCTCCTTAGCCCTCACAGGAGTTTTTTTTAAGAACTACAGATAACAAAATGCACAGTTTTTATCCCAGACCTCTGAGAAATCAGGGAGGAAGAGTGATGGTTCCTTGGACCTCAGCCTCTTCTCCCCGTCACACAGTATTTTGAACTTTTATTCCCCTCTTCTTGTGGCAATTTCCTGATCAGTACCCTTGTTAACATCTTGCCACATGCTTCATTCTCTTCCATGCTGTACTTCATTATTTGTATTACAAACAGGGATATACATTATTTTAATGTTCCTTAAGTGGATGGTCTTAGTCAAGGATTTAGCATGTTCAGATACAGCTACAATAGCACCCCCAGGACCGAGATTCAGACCTCACTGACTCAGTCTGGCAGGGTGACCAGAGTGTGTATTTTGCTGTGTTTCAGTATCAGTATATTAGGTTTCTAATCCATGTGATTAAGTTGTAGACCTGCAAAGCTCTGATAACATGCAAGTAGTCTCTCTCTACATATTTAGGAATCCAACTTGCTTCATGAATTTGTTACCAGTGGCTTTTACTCTGGAGCTGCATAATTTGCAGTTAACAAATGGCACAGATCAGCTTCTGCTGACAGCTTAATTTAAAGCATGGGGCCACCTCACAGTAGGCAGCTAAATAATGAAATTAAGCCTTTATTTTGGCAAATTAGGGCTTTAGTTTGGCAAATAAAGGTTTACAAGATTTACACACACACTGAGTTTATTGTAATGGGATAGATAAACCCCAGAGCTCTCATGTCTATTCCCTGTGCAGCTGCGAGACATAGTTAGCCTGACCTTATCCTTCTGTCTGCTTCCACAGTGACACAGTGCACACATAGTCATTAACTGACTGTCTCGCAGGAGGGCTCAGCCTGTATTTGGATGTGCAGCTTAAACTACTGTAGGTCTCACTTCTTATCACTGACGAACCTCCACAGTCAGAATTGGGTCTCTGTTTTGGGGACAACCCAAGTTTTACTGCTCCCAGTATCTAAGCTGACTGCTGTCTGGGTGAAAATTGAGAGTCATAAACCAGCAAGCAGGAAGAAATCATCTGCACTCATGGAGAACAGTCTTGAGGCTCCAAAGCACTTTTGCTCTGAATTTCTTCTTATGTCTTGAAGAAGCAGTATTTAGGAAGGACACTCATGAAGGAAGCAGATAGACACAGGAGGCAGTAGATGCCTCGGGCTTTGTAGAGTCTTCCCTAGGTGATAAAAACTGACTGCGGGATCTGATTATGATCACTCAGAAGAAGCTTGCTGGTGAGCCTGTTCCTGATGCAATGAAGTAGATTTTCCTTCAGCCTCCATCCCTCTGCTTGTAAAATGGCTAATAGTACAGGTCTCTTTTATAAACACATATTAAAATATAATGATAAAGGGTGGTTTAGCAGAGTCTAGGTCGCAAGACTAAAAATCATATAATCATTGAATGGTTGGGTTGAAACGGACCTTAAAGCCCTACCAGCCCCAGGCCCTTGATTTGGGCTTGTTTCCACCCACCAGCTCAGGCTGCTCAGGGCCCCATCCCACCTGGCCTGGAGCACCTGCAGGGATGGGGCACCTACAACTGCTCTGGGCAGCCGTGCCAGGACCTCACTGCATTCTGAGTGAATATCTTCCTAATATGGCCTTCCTGAATGTCACTAGATTCTTACAGGTCCACATCTCAAAGCTGACCAAGTCCCTTTGTATGCATCCTTTCCTTCTATCAATTGCTTCACTCAGCTTGGATGACTTAATTAGATGCACAGGACAATTAGAGGGAAAATTGCAGAGATTGGCTGAAGATCAGCGTTTGTGTAGAACCAGAAGTTTTTCCAGGGACTCCCTCCACTGAAACTCTAATGCTCTTCAAAAATCATAGGAATGAGAAACAGGTTGTTGGAATGCAAATATGCATGTCTAATATGAAAGTTTTTTTTCCAGGAAATTAAGAGCGTGACAAATTCAGACGTTAGGCTGTACATTGGGAGAAGGAGCTGTTCCTCAATAAGCAAACTTTGTAGGAGACACAACAACGTGTTACCCAAGAGCATAGCTTTTGATGTTCCCTGAGCAATTACGTTGTTTCTTATGTCACCTTATCTAATGGTTTTGTGGGCTTCTCTTCTATTAAAGCATTTTACCTCCTCGTTCCCACTTCCACCCATTGGCTTCTCACTTTTTTCTTCCATTGTCTTTTCAGCAGCTTGTGTCCAACTCCCTTGGTAGTCTGTTTGTGTGTGTTTCATTTCAAATCAATGGCATTTAAAATATCTGTAGTAGTGAGAGTTTCTATGGAGTCAGAAGCAGCTGCAGTCAGTGATGTCAGAGAGATACAGAGCGGGAGAGAGCTCGGGCAAGAGTTGCAGGGATGCTGTCTGTCCTCAGCATTTTTGAGCAGATCTTTCAATACTTAAGGTCTCCTTCTGCAGCCAAACTGTGTCATACATGTGGATGAGGGGAAGGAGTGGCTTTAAGTAACTTAAATAATCCTGTATGCATACATTGTGTGAACAACCAACTACAAAGACTGTGTTTTTACAGCTCTTACTTTAATGTGCCTTGTGCCTGTGTACATCCTTGTTCAGCATGTTTCAAGTTATGGGCTAAAGTTCATTCCCATGTCTTCTAGGTCAGAGTGAACACAGTGTGATAAAGCAGTGCTCCTTAGCAGGGTGGTATCACCTCCATTAAACCTGATCACCAAAGTGGTCAGTATGCAAGAGGTACAAGTTCTCCTGCTCTCTCTGTGGCACTGTATCACAGCTTTCAGCTAGATGACTGTAAAGTGCAAAGGGCTGATTACCCTTTCCATGAAACCTTCCAGCAGTGGCTTGCCTGCGTCCAAAAACCTCGCAACCACATCACTGCATTCTCATGCCCTGGTCAGTTAACTTGGCTGCTGTAGGTCATGGAACAAATTGGCTGAACAGATGGATTCCTGATGTAAACCATCAAGGGACTCCATCACTACCAAAACTCACTGGTGTTACAGACTTTAAATCAATTAGAACCAGCTCCATTGCATAGTCTCCAGGGAGCAAGTGATGTGTAATCAGTCTGCAAGGGTTACATTCCTGCTGCATATTGCTAAGACAGTGCATAATGCACAGTTTGGCAGAACTGCACGAGGGGAATTACAGAGATCAATATGCATCACAATGGAAAGCTTGACAAAGGGTTCAGCTATGGCTTGTTGTGCTGTTCTGCAGAGTACTGCAGCCCTCAGCAGAGTCTGAGCCAGTGCTTTCAGCACTAGGAATTATTGGGAAAATGCAGATACTGAAATTCTCTTTTTCAGAGGAAAATGCTGCCTGTGTACCTGTGCACTGCACAGAGACTGAAATAACTGTGTGAAGCCCCTGAGCTTTTCCTGAAACACCTCAGTTTTTGACTTGTACTAACTTTGACTGGAGACCATGGGTCAGATTGCAGTATTTGTCTGGCTTCTACATTTCCTATAAGTATTATAAAGAACTGGGTAATAATCCTCATTGCATTTCCCATGATATGCACAACACATCAAAATGATACCATTTAAAGCAAGCTGTGTCTTTTTTTAAATTATTTTTTATTTTTTTCATTTTTTTTTTAATTTGGCCAAAGAACAGTACAAAAAGTAAGATTTTTCTGGCATGAATTCCTGTTTTGCCAGCCAAAAAGCTATCTACAGGCTTTTTCATTTGAATTTGTTTATGCGCTGCTCAGTGTAGATGAGGAATTCGTGTCAGCGGTTGTAAAACCACGGGTTTACAGTATTTACAGAGGGATAAAGGGATTCAAGGAGCAGAGTCAGCACACTCCATTTCCCTGTTGGCAGCAGAGCGTCCTGCTGAACTCTTGTATCATTCATTGCTCTTTAGTTATGGGCTTCATTTCACGTGCCTGTCCATACAGATGCCCCATGAAGGTAGGGTTTAAACATGACCCATAAAGGTCATGTTTAAAAGGATCTAACTGTCAGTTATGGCCCTGCTGATTTTTGTTACCTACAGACAGGATTACAATATTTGTGGAACTATCCTTGATTCTTGTTAATTTGATATAAAGCATTTTCAGCTGTGTTACATTCTTGACGCCCTGTTATTTTTGTTTATCAGACTGCACTAGCACTTTTTTCCTTTTTTAGGTCATTACAGATAAGCAATGCAGTTGCTGTGACCATTGCAGCTCTCCTAAGATAAGCTGTTTTCCTTGGAGTGCCCCCTCTTAGTTGTTCTTGAATACAATCTCGTGTTCAAATGACTTTTGTCTACTAAGCTGCAGGATGGAGGAGGCAAAAATATATGACCTTCAGCATTCCTAGACCAAAAATAAATTGTTTGTTTGTTTGCTTTTATGTGATACTTTAATCTACCTTAGTGAGGGATGGGGAGAAAGGTGAGCTGATTTAGTCTTTTGAAACGTTTGGATTTGGCATTACTAGAAACCTGCTGCTCTGTTCCCTGGGTATGTAGGGAGCTCTTGCAAGCCAAGATCCCTCTAGATGTTCATAGCAGCTGTGTTAGTTGCTGAGAACACTCACAGGGAGTCAATGGAGGATGTGACAGTTTCAAGGGATGCTCCACAAACCTGCAAATGCTTCTGGCTTCACGCGCACACTTTCTGCTTTAGCATATGTGCTCCCGCTAACATAAACTGAGCTGGGCCTGTGTGGAAATTTCTCCTGCATCAAAGCATTAAGAATTTATCCGAAAGGACCTGGCAAATATTCCTGTATGAGAACCTTAACAACATAAGATTACTGAATAATCACAATTCAAAAGACAAATGATATTTTAAGGTAATGGCAGCATTGTGTCTTAGTGCAGTACTTCTCCTTCAGGCTTTTATTTTATAGTTCTGGGTCACTTATTACCATTTTTGGCCCAGATCTGGCAAAAATTAATAAATATTCTTAAAAATTTGTGCTTGATATTCAGACTACGAAACTTTGCAGCATAGATGCATAGTTTTCAGTGAAACCTATAAAATGTAAGTTACAGGTTCAGAGCTTGACTTACAGAAATACTTATTCTCATACTTGCCATGTTCGGCCTTTTTCCCGTTCCTTCTGGAGATACCGAGTTAAGCACTTGCCATAGTTTAAGCACTCGCCATTCTGTGTCATACATTTGATACAGGGCTCTGCTGGAGTCAGCAGGGTCTTTTTCCAGGTAATGACAGCAGTGTTTGCTCCTTCACCTCTCATTATATTTCTTCCTTCAGGTACCAAGACTGTCTTAACCTTAACTGAATAATAACTATTTTTAACCTTTCCTCACAGGAGTGTTTGCATTTGGACTTTTTGCCACTGACATATTTGTAAATGCTGGCCAGGTTGTGACTGGGAACTTGGCTCCATACTTCCTGACTGTGTGTAAACCCAACTACACTGGAAATGACTGTCGGACCCACCACCAGTTCATCAACAATGGCAACATCTGCACTGGGGATGTAGAGGTGATTGAAAAGGCCAGGAGATCCTTTCCATCCAAACATGCTGCTTTAAGCATCTACTCAGCTTTATACGCCACGGTGAGTAGCGGAGATGATTGCTGACTTGTAAGAGAGGTTTCTGTCTGCACATCCACATGGAGTCATGCAGTGTATTTTTGAAAGCAAAGAGGGTTGTTTCAGGAATAGATTTCCTCTTTATCCATCCAGTAATCCCCTTCTCTCTCTGTTTTATTAGTACTAATAAAAGCAAACCAAGTTCTCACTGCTTCTGCAGCACCATGTAATGCAGAGGCATGAGCTTCTAATCTCATTTTTGCTACTGATTTTCTCAGATGCCTTTGAGAAAGCATTTAACCTCTTCTTTTCCCTGCCCATGTCTCATCAACACTAAAACAGGTATTAACTTTATCGGGAATTTCTTCCCTCAGTAGCCAGACCCAGATGAGTGGCAGTCTCCCTGTAGGTCATCAGAATTTGAGAAAAATCTTGATGGGCTATTTACTGAATATTTTAGCCTTACCTTGGTAGCAAGTGATAAAACACCACATTATTGATATGTAAAGAAAAGGCCGCCCACTGTTTCACTTATCTTCTGTTTCCATTGAATTTTATGTGAATAATGACTGATACATAAACTGTTAACTCCTTTGACCAGGAATTGTTGGAAAGTGTTTGCAAAGCTCATAATATTTTGCATGCAGTATTTCTGAGCAATGCAAACTATGTGTGAAATAGAGTTCCCAGCAGACTTGTCAGTGTAAGAGAAGCAGTTTTCATTATGATTGTGGGCATGGTGGTGATGGGCTAATGGTTGGATTAGATGATCTTTGTGGTCTTTTCCAACCTCAGTGATTCTGTGATTCTGTGGTGGGTATTAAGATGACTGCTTCAGGATCAGGTTGGGTAGGCCTTCCAGGGACTTCTTCAGGTTTCTAGGAAGGCTCATCTGCAAACAGCTGATTTCTGCAGCTGAAGAAGAGCAGTACTTTTCCTTCCCAAGCTTAAGTCTCCAGCAGTTCAGTGTTTCTTAGCCCTAAGCTATGAAGCACCTGGGTTGCTTTCTCCTTGGCACTAGTGGGAAGCGAATGGCATGCAGAGGGATGATTGCCTTCAGCCCTTGTGGGACAGGAGCGTAAATAAGAGAGGCCTGCATCTGATGCTTAAGGTCTAAGGCATAACTCTTTCTCAGCCACAAGTTTTCAGTCTGCAGTACAATTTTAGCCCCTACTGCCATACAGTATGGGTGCCCGAGAGCATCCTCCAGCACTAAAGGCACTGTCATCACATCACTGATTCTCAAGAATCTTTTAGAGACGTCTCTGTACTGATCTGTTCATTACTTTGCTAGTGACAGTGCTCCCATTGTAGCTGGTATGGCTTTGTGTTGTTCTTTTCTATAATGTGGGTTTTATATTTAATCAAATAGGCTTTTTTTTCTTGTCACCTGCCAAATAAGCTGAGAACCCAAAATATGATTCTTTTAATTCCTTCATGCACAGATGAAATTTGTATGCCTAAAGCAGGGGAAGTTTAGAAACAAACAAACAAACGAATGAACAAACAAAAAACAACAAAGAAAAGTCAAACAGCAGCACTGGTTTCCATGCTTACATCAAAACTGGAGTTAAATCTAATGCAATTCTATTAGTCTCCAAAATAAGCCCTCCCAGGTAGGGCTGTCTCAATACATGGTGCAAGCTGCTGTATAATTAGAAATGTGTGCTTCTAAGGACATTACTCAAGAGAAGGTGACATGTTAGAAATATTCCTTAATTTTTGAACATTTCTGACCCCCCCAAAAAAAGGAAGAAGATAAAATGTCATGTTGCATATAAGTATCCTGGTTAGGCACTCTGAGAAAGGTCATAGGAGAATCAGTTACAATGACATCCAGCAAGTGGTGATATTCAACCTGAACACATAATGTATTTCACTGCATTTAAATGATCTCTTATTGTAGACTCTTGCTTATTCTTCTGTTTGTTTTTTTCTGGAGTGAGAGCGACCAATGAGAGCTCTAATACAATCACAGGATGGTCTCTGTGGCTAAAGGCTACAACAAGGCAGTCTTGTCAACATTTTGGTAGTATTTTTAGGATTCTTAAACCAGGCACTGAACTAGCAGTATCCACAAATAACTCCTTCTGTCACTGCCATCTGGCTAGAAGACTCCACCTCATGATTGTTGTCACAACCTAGTGTCTGTTGTTTACACCTGGGTTGCTTTTTGGCTAGACTAGAGTGATGCAATACAACTTTCAGTGTATGGGACATTCTAAATACCTACAGCAAATCCCTTCAGTAACCGAGGTCACTGTGACCCCACTGTCAATTTCCTCCATTTATACACGCACACCTGCCAGATTAATTGTTGAAATTCAGGGCTCTGGCACTTAAGGAAACTGCACTGAACATCCAGGAAGTTGCATAACATTCTGTAAGACAGATTGTTGTCATTGGCTTTTAGTGTAGAAATTTTCATGGTAAAGATTATCTATAAAGCTTGCAGGACCCAGTTTTTCCAGAACTAGGCTGAAATTGTAATCTTTCCAGGAAAAATAAATCTCCTTCACTTCTACATCTTCTACACACTTCCTCCACTCAGCCTTCCACAGCACAGATATACCATATGTTATAAATATATGTGAGCGTATATTTACATACGTGTATAAAGATAGGCATATATATATATCTGTCTATTTTAAACTTGCAAATGAAAAAAACTTTCTTTGCTGTCTATGCTTTCGTCTGTCTGAAAATAGATGGGAGAGGAGTTACATGCAGGATGAATGCTACTATCACACATTGCACATTGCTAAATACATCACTTGAGAGTGCTGATAAATGCACGAAGGAAGCTGAATATTTATATAGATAAAGCATATGTTGATTATTTTTGTGTGTCAATTTTCTCCTTTCTTCACGTCTTTTTATATTCACTTCCTCTTCCCCTCTCTCCCCATACACACACACATCAAACAATTCATTTTCACATGTAGTGTTTTGTAAATAATTTTACCTCATAAATAAATAGTACTCCAAGGAATTTATAAGACACCCTATAGAGTGTAGAAAATCAAATTTAAGCAATTTTCACTGAGATTTTTGGCTCTTACACAAGGCTTTGAAAAACTGAAGGGGCAAAAATATTGTGGGAATCTTCAAAAAGTGTCTTTGCATTAGGGACTAAAGCAATAATGATAAAGCCACACTGATCCCAAGTTTTGACCAAAATGAAGGATCTCACCCATAATTTCCAAGCTCATTTGATGATGTGGATGAACTGGAGCACAGATTCAGGAAAAACAGCCTGTCTCGTTTAAAACCCTCCTTGTGATAGAGAATCTATCACTTCCCTTGGCAATCTGTTTTCATGGTTAATTATCTTCACTGCTAAAAATGTTCTCTTTACTACAACTTTATATTTTCCTGCCAAGATGTGTGAATCTTGAGTGCTTTAGGTGACATCCCATCTGTAGTAATGAAACTCCCATACGAGTGAGGGAGTGCTGCATGACATCCTGGTCGCCAAATCAGAGAAAAATAGATTTGAAGGATGGACTACTTGCTGGATAAGGAATTGGTTGGATGGTCAAACTTAGATAGTTGCCTCCAATGGCTCAGTGTCCAAGTGGAGACCAGTAATGAGTGGCATTCCTCAGGGATCTGTGCTGGGACCAGTGTTATTTAACATCCTTGTAGGCAACACAGACAGTGGGATTGAATACACCCTCAGTGAAATTGCAGATGACACAAGCTGAGTGGTACAGTTGGCTAGAGAGAAGAGATTCCATTCAGAGGGACCTGGACAGGCTTAAGAAGTGGGAGCATGCCAACCTCGTGAAGTTCATTGAGGGCAACTGCAAGATCCTGCACCTGGGTCGGGGCAATCCCAAGCACAAATACAGGCTGGGAGGAGAATGGCTCTGAGGAGAAGGATTTGGAGGTGTCAGCTGATGAAAGACTTGACATGAGCTGGCAATGCACACTTGCAGCCCAGAAGGCCTTGTGGGATGCATCAAGAGAAGTGTGACCAGCAGGTTGACGGAGGTGATTCTGCCCCTCTACTCTGCTCTTGTGAGACCGCACCTGGTTTACTGCATCCAGTTCTGGGGCCCCCAACACAAGAAGGACATCGAGCTGTTGGAGTGGGTTCAGAGGAAGGGCACGAAGATGATCAGAGGACTGGAGCATCTCCCCTACAAGGACAGGCTGAAAGAGCTGGGGCTGGAGAAGGCACAGAGGTACCTTATAGCAGCCTTCCTGTACCTGAAGGGGGCCTACAGGAAAGCTGGGGAGGGACTTTTTATAAGGGCAGGTAGTGATAGGACAAGGGGCTTTGAGCAACCTGGCCTAGTGGGAGGTGTCCCTGCCTGTAAAAGGGGAATTGGAACTAGATGATCTCAAAGGTCCATTCCAACCCGAAGAGTTATGAGATTCTAGGATGAGTAAGCTAAACATCATTTCATCTCATAGCCTTAAGAAAATAAGCATGCATGAATTGGTCTCTCTCGCTGGAGATTGCAGCTGTCACAGCAGGGCTGCATTCTTGCTTTAAGGAAGTAATTATTTTCCTTTGCATGTTGTAAATTGCAGCAGTGCTTTGGTGGGGAAAGCAATCTTTGATTTGCTCATTTGAATTGGCCTCTGCGGGAAGAAATGCACAGAGTGAAAGGATGGGGCAGTAATTATTCACACAGTGGCTCTTCACTTACTTAAATAATATTTTTTCCCCATTGTTTCCAAAGAAAAGCCTTAACGTGAGTTTCAGTGCTGGTCAGGTGCAGCTCAAGCTACCGGCAAAACTGGAGCAAGATTGCCATCTAGTGCTCATTTGGTAGCTGTCATTTGAAGGTGTGTGCATTCCCATGTCGGATTGGAGAAACAAAGCTAGCAGGTGCCTTGAGTGTAACTTAGTCCCATCTCAGTTCTTTTATACAATGTTCCACTTCACAAATTGAATTCACATTTATATGATGCGTTCACCAGAAGATTTCACTTCCTCAGGCAGAGATCTAGCAAATTCAGCTGCTAAAAGTTCAGTACTGCAGTTGCTTGGCAGCTGACAGAGTAGTTTTGTCCAGGTACGAGCAAATATACCCCACTGATCAGTTGCTCTGCCCTTTTACATACCAGGAGATCATTGCTGCATACCATCCCTACATCTAAAGGTAGCATATTGTAATGGTTTTAGGGCTAATTTGTTTAACGCTAGCCAGAGAAGGGAAGCCAGCACCAGGGGCATTTGATGGACCAGACAGTGAGAAAGAGGAAAAAAAGTAGAACAGGGAGAAAGTTTAAATGAAATAATATATACAGTAGAGCAAAAGAAAGGGATATATGGGAAGCGATGGACAAGGTGACCTTGAGAAACATCATTTCAGTTTCTTGGTCCCAGAAACCTGTGTTTGAGTCAGCCCATGGTGACCTCTGTGTATTTGGCTCATGAAGAAAGGGACAGGCACTAAAATATGCTAAAATAAACACCCGAGGTTGCCAAGTAGATTACAGAGTGTGAAGCAAGATGTGAGATGGTTGTCATTGCAATTGGAAGCACCAAGACAAACCTCTGTAGATCTCCTTCAGCAGTGCTTTTGTCAGAGAAGAATCCTGAGGCAGCTTTACTCAGGCCAACCATTGTGTTCTTGGCCAAGGACTGGAGGTGGGTTCCACCATGTCACAAACAATTCAGCCTTTCTGGATTCAGCACTGCTCCTGGCAAAGCACTCAGCATGCCCAGAGGAAGAGTTCTGTGACCTGCAAAGCAATGTTAGTTGTTGATGGAATTAAAATAATGGGAGTTTCTGTGCACTGCCTTTTGCCCAGAAGGCTAATAGAAGCATATTTCCATTTCTGAGAACTAAAAGGGCTAAGAGTGCAAATATTTACAGCATTAATTTTTCCACTTTTTTTTTCCATTTCTTTTTTTTATAACGAGCAAATAAAATGTAATATTTTGTTACAAAATAACTGGAAGGTACTTCTATGGTTTGTAGTCTTTATATTTCCAGTAGAACAAGCATGTGCACTTTCACTAGATTGGGTTCATTTACCAGCCAACAGTTAAGAAGAATCCAGTGAATTTTCCAAGTCTATCATTCTGATTCTATTTCATATATGAGAGACAAAGTGTCATTTTTGTGCATGCAAAAAAGACAGTGGCATGTCTCAATAGGTTTACTTAGAACCAGAATAGTTCGAGTTAGAAGGGACCTCTAAAGGACACCTAGTCCAACTCCCCTGCGCTGAGCAGGGACACCTACAGCTCTATCAAGTACTCAGAGCCCAGTTCAGCCTGACCTAGAATGGCTACAGAGATGGGGCATCCACCAGCTCTCTAGGCAACCTGTGCCAAAGCCTCACCAACCTTATTGTAAAAAACTTCTTCCTCAGGTTCAGTGTAAATCTCCCCTCCTTTACTTTGAACCCATTTTCCCCTTGTTGTATCACAACGGACTCTGCTAAGGATTCTGTGCCTTTCTTCCCTACAACCTCCCTTTAGATACAGGTTGGCCACTCTCAGGTCTCCCCGCAGCCTTCTCTTTCCCAGGCTGAACAGCCCCAGCTCTGTCAGAGGCCACCAAATCTTGGGGGTTCTTGTAGGTACCTGTGCTTGATGAAAATGATTTTATTTTATTGGTTTTTTCATCAGACTCGATTCACTTATCTTCAGCATTTTGAGACTCTGGAAATAATGACTAGCCACTAATTGTGACACACGTTTTTACTGTTTTGTGTTCTGTTTTTGTTGGTTTTTTTTTTTTTTTTTCAAAATGCATTTAAAATAAATTATTAACTGCTTAAAACGTGGAATTCACTAAACAACACTGTGAACATAGTGAAGCTTCATGCTCTAGAACTACATTTTCATAATCAACTCTGCTTTGAAAGAAATCTTTCTTTTATTCTGAATTTCATTTTGCCATGCAGAAAATGCCTGTAGTGGTTTCTCTTAATGCTAAGAATCTGTTTCTTAACCTGACTACTGCTTAGAAAGCTGGAGCAGCTATAGGTGGCATGAATAGGTGCTCCAATATGTTCACATCATTGTTCTGCAGGAATATAAGCAGAAATTGTTTGCAAACATTGAGTCATTTACATTCAGCACATGTGTTTGCTGCCATTTGAGCAAGTGCTTAAACAGGTCAAGAAGACAGTGAAACTGAGCTGTACATAATAGCTCAGAAATCCAGTATGTAAATACAGTTGATTGGATATTTTACATCCTGAAACATCACTTTCCAGTACCTGTTTTATTTACCTGAGAGTATTCCCTGAGTTATCATATACCTTTTCCTCCATTTCTCAAGGCTTTTATTTATGAACCGTGGATTTTGTCACATCTCTGCTGAATTATGATATGACTAGAAGGAAAAAAAAAATAGTTTTGTGCCAAATCCCTTTTCAGTGTTGTTTTGTCCTTTCTTTCAGATGTACATCACAAGCACAATTAAAACAAAGAGCAGCAGGCTAGCCAAACCTGTGCTGTGTCTGGGCACTCTGTGTGCTGCGTTCCTCACTGGGCTGAATCGAGTTTCTGAGTACCGAAACCATTGTTCAGATGTGATCGCAGGCTTCATCCTGGGAAGTGCAGTCGCCTTGTTTCTGGTAAACCTATCAATTCTTCCCCATTCCTTTTAAAAGTATGTGTTTGAAATAAACATAATATTGCTCCTCTCCTGTGGTCTCTTGGAGCTAATCAAACCAATTGTTAGGAACAAATTCTAGCCCTTTGTCATGAGTGTGTCATCAGAGAAAATTCTAATATGAAATCAAACTGATATTAATTAATAAGGCTAATACGATGACATTTGTGTATTCATGTGTATTTCAAGATTATTTTATTCTAATTAACTGACCATGCTTTCACGTGACTTTCCTGGAAAAATGCTTTGAAAATGGTGTAGGATTTCAATTAATGTCCAAAGAGAGGCAGGATGTTTGACACTCGTTCCCTCACATACAGCTAAACTGCTGGCAGCCTTCTATGGGCAGAAATGTACAGCGTGTTGTCTGGGGTTCTGAGCAGTAGTCTTCATTTCCCTCTTTGTTTTTGACCACAGAAGAAGTGCAATAGAAAGGAAGGTCAGGAAAATCTCCCTTGGAGACAGAACTACTTAACTAGTGAACATGGCAGTGACTGGTTAACAGTTGAACTAGATGATCTTAGTGATCTTTTCCAGCCCTGATGATCCTATAATTTGATTGGTTCGTTAGGATAATCACATGTATTAAAATGTGCCATCAATAGCCTTTCCTCAGAATCTTGGAACAGTGTCTTCCTCTAGACTTGGAACATTACTTACTCCACTATTGATTGTGTGGTGTGCTTTGCATGGTGAGGGATCTCTTGCTGAGGATTTACCCACACAGTACTCAAGGTGATTCCCACTGTTACAAAAACCCAAAATGTTCATAATTCCATTTAAAAGCTACATCCTTCAAAACCATCCACTGCTTAGCTACAAACATTTTCTTTATCTGTATACGGTACGATCACCATTCACCCAGGCTGCAGCCTACTCCTTGGTCAGGTCTAAAGAGCAGCAAAGAACAGCCAGCAAGGAACTGGCTGTAGGATTTGTTCTGACCGCAGATGTATGAGTTCCTGCATGCCTTCTTTCCATTCTGTTCCTAAACCCTAAGCAGATATGTGTAAGTTGTGACCTTATTGGTATCATCATGCACAAGGGAAGGCCTCATAGGATGAACATTGCAGGAGTTGTGCTGGAAGTATGCAGGCGTGGTGCTAAGTGAGCTTGGTGTCATCCAGATGTGAGGAATGACTAATGACTGAATGAGCTGTTTTTTATGTTTGGAATTGGCAGTCAGAATCTCAAGGGATTATTTGGTTGAGATAGTGCAGCAACAACCTAGTCCTAGATTTTGTGATGATAAAGCAGACATGATGGGAGTCTGCTGTATGAAACAAAAGAAGGCGGAGAATGATTCAGCCAAGAGGATGGACCCTTTTACTAAGATAGCCCAGGAGGCCAACTGTGACAGTCAGTGCACTGCAGCCCACTGAGACATAAAATACCTCTACCCAAAAAGCCGAGGTGAAGTTATGTGCAAAAACTTGCAGTTGAGAGACCTGGGTGGGAATTGCTGTGAGTTACTTCTCTGGACTGCACATGCTGACTTCATTCTGTTTATCTTCATTTTTCACATTACGCAGGGGATATGTGTTGTCCATAACTTTAAGGGCACCCATGGAGCTCCTTCTAAACCGAAGCCTGAAGACCCACGAGGAATGCCGTTAATGGCTTTTCCAAGAGTTGAAAGTCCTCTGGAGACACTGAGTGCACAGGTATTGTAAATCCTCTCACCCATACCATCACAAAATGTATTTTCTATACAGTGGACTAAAATTGGAGCTGGTTTCATTCCTAATGTTAAGCCCACTGAACAGTGAGAATATGCATCAGGGGAGATTTTTTTAGAGGCATTTATCCTCTAAGCCACCAAATTCTGTAGATCTTCTCCTCTTGCACAACCAGAACTTAATCAGTAGGATTTCACATGTCTTCTGTGCAATAACAAAGTTTTGCTTAGAACAGTAAATTAAGAGAGAAGTAAAGATAAGTCCGTGCAATCACACCTAAGAATGCTTTTGGTATGTCTTAAAGATTTACTCTAAGATTTATAATCCTGAGGATAATATACACTGTCCAGTGAGGATAAAAATATAATTTTTAGCACTGAGCACTTATTACTGCTCAGTGTCTTCTAAATTAAGAAATATTACACTGTTTTCTATCTAAGCCATCAAAGAAGAAGCTAACAACTTTCTCTCAGGTTTGCAAAAAAAGCTAATGTAATTATCATTACTGATGATGTTGTTGTTAAACTGCTAACTTTGGATAGCTGGATAGCAGATACACTGCTAGCTTTGGATAGTGTTGTTGGCATAAATGAAACTTACCAAAAACAAACAAGCAAATGCCATCTGCCAAGAATTTCTTGGAACAAGGAGGAATTGTAGTTCATTAGTTGTCTGAAATGCCCTTGTGGAGTTTGTCCTTTAAATTGTATTTCCTGCATTAGCTGGCATGTTACTGCTGTTCTTGTGGCAAGGTTAGTCAAACCCTTTGGTAAATTAACTGAAAATAATAATTTAAAGTAAGTGGAAAAGATATTTCTAACACTTGGAAAAAATTTGCTTAATTGAATAGTCAGTTGTGATTGACTTGTAGCAAAACTGCTGGAAAGACTTTCAATTGATTGTGCATCAAGTTTTCTCTTGGTGGACTTGCAGTCCAGAAACAAAATCCTTCTATACTGCACTGTGTATGACGGAAGAGGTAAAAGCATTCACAGATTATGAAAAATTTTATCTAGTCACCTATTTATATTTTCTGGACAGAGAGGTGCAGGTAGGGACTGAGCCTTAGCTGATGATGTGCACTATAATCAAGAAGGTAATTTTGTCTGAATCAGGGTATCAGTTTCTAAATCAGACAGGAGTTAAGAAAAAAAAAAAAGAAGAAAAATACGATCCTACTTTGAAGCCATTAAGAAGTTATTGTAATTAATCCCTGAAATGCTGCTTGTTAGTGTTTCTTCTGACATAGGGATATCCTTCTCTGTGGAGATTTCTGCATCTGTCCCCACTCATATTTTCCTTGCATTCACACACTGCAGATGCAGTGTGATTTGAGGACAACCCAGTGCTGCTACCAAAGTCCTGGACTCTGGCTTCCAAGAATCAGCACTGCCTGTTTTGACACAAGGAGGACTTTTGTGCCTGCCTGTGTTTTGCCATACTTACCCTCCACGTAAGGTTTCCTAATGGTTTTAATGGTTTTAAGCTCTGTAAGTTGCCTAGCATTGAGCTGTAGGATCTACACACACACATCACACAAACCAAACATGTGAAGTGACATCATGTTGTTTATAGGCTGTTTGTGACTGAGGATAGGCACATGAGATGGCATTAGCTACATGACTGTAAGGAGTGCTATGAACCTGCACTGACATATGTCTCTGGACAGAATTCAGTACAATTTGAAAATTCCAAGGGAAAAAGTGGCACCTTGTTTTGCAGACAGACTCGTGAGTGTTCACAGCCCAGGAGCAGGGCTCAGTTCAAGCTGCCCTGTCATGAGCTTGCAACAGACAGCAGTCACATTTGCAGTCATTTCTTCTTCTAAAGCGCTATGTTAGTTGGGTGACAGATGTCACATCTCTGCATTTAGTGAAGGGCTTTCTCATTCATTCCACACAATATATGTAAGTGACAACACATGTACCAATGCTCACGTGTCTGTGTTTTCATCTTTGCAGAATCACTCTGCCTCTATGACTGAAGTGACTTGAGATGGAAGATTGGCAGCAGAAGCTATTTTTTATTACCCTCCAGTACAATACTTCAAGACACACAGTTACTAAGTGTCAGACTGTGATGATCAGTATTATGTTATGTCTAGTTAGAAGCTAATGTTTTGTACATTTTTTTGTATGAGGAAGTGATGTAGCTTGCCCTGATTTTTTGTCAGCTTTAATATTATTATGCCAGAATTTAAAATCAAAATAGAAAAAAAAAAAAAAAAAATCCAAAACCTTTTCTTGTTTAAATTGTGCACTGAGGAATTACATCTATAGAATTGTTGGTGTTGTTATGTGATATTTGTACACGGATTTTTTTCATTTTTGAATTAATATATCTTGAGAAAAAAAATCACTTTTACCTTTTCTTACCATAACAAAGTGCTTCAACCAGCGGGTCAGATTCTGATCTTGGTAAGCTCTGAAGTAATTACGTATATTTAATTCAGATGAAAATAATGGTGATCAGAAATCTAACCCAAACCAACAAGTAGTAAACATCCAGCCTTGATTCAGTGAGCTACTTAAGCAAGCCTTAGCATCACAGACTAGCCATGCAGCTTCCAGACTGCTTGGCAGACCTGAAGTATCCTTAAGTATCTGACTGAATCAGAGCCTGGTTGTTCTGGTGTGAGTGATTGTGCTAGTTATTGAAGAATAACTAAAATGATGTACCCAGTCTGCAATATAGACAGACTGGACATGAAAATTTATAGTAGTAGCTGATAGCATGTGAGCTGACTATATCATGTCCCTAGATCCTCCCCAAGGCCCAGCCTAAGCTCCCAGTGGAACCTGGCTTCAGGAACTGACTATGGGGATATACAGCCATCACTGTGGAGCGGATGCTGCGCTATAAGTGTGTCATAACTTCATCATAGATTTATGAGGTAACACTGATACGAGGGAAAAGTGATGCCACATCTTCTGTGAAGTGGCATTACTGAGCATTCAGATTGGCCTCACCATCAAGCCAGTTGTGCCCTGACAGTGTTGTTTTCACTGAGGGGCTTTGGTGAGCTTAAAAAAAAAAAAAATTAAATACTTAAACTGACACAGTCTGTAGTAGCAGTCTGCATTTTTGTAAATACTGCCATGCAGAATTTATATCTGTACGGCTATTTCAAAATTCAGCAACACTCTTTAAGGAATAAAGAGATAATTGGGGGGGTGGGGAGGCAGGGGGAGATCAAAAAGAATGCATATATCACAGTGAGAGCTGGGGCAAAGGCTTCATTACATGATGTCTCACTGTTTCTAGGCTTTTCCTGCATCTCATTCTTCTAGCATGGTGATAACTGCTGTGTGTCTCCTTTAAAGAATGGAGCCTCTGTCTGTACTTTTACTGGAATGTTTACCTCACATTTCCATTTTGGTTCTTGGCTTTTTTTGTATATTTTTTTCCAAAACAGATGCAAAAAAAAAAATCAAAAAAAAAAAAAAAGGTGTGGTTTCTGTCTCTTCTGTATATTATTGCACAAAGAAAACACGGGACGTCTGTTTGTGTTTTGTCATGGAGTGATTTCTCCATGTAACTATTTTCTCATGAGTCTTCTGATGTCTTCTTCTGATGAGTCTTAGGAACTTAAGGATCAGACTTGGGCTGTCCAGAACCATTAGGAATCACGAGCAGTGTTCTGGGGCCCTCTCTACAGCTTTGATCCAAATTCCCTCAAACAAGGGGAAAACTGCTGAATAAACTTGGCTGGTTCTGCTGTCTTAGGAAGATAATGGCATTAGGGAAGATAATCAGCAAAGAATACTCCATTTGATGTGCACAGTCAGCAGCACGTCATCATGCTCCAAGGGGCTAGCAGGGGAAATTAATACTAAAATAAACCCAGTTACATTCTGTATCTTGTTTTTTTGCAGATGTGGTCCATGGGGTTTTGGGGGTTTTTTGTTCAGAAGCACAACTTTCTCAGTGTGCCATTTACAGCAAGTTTAGGCAGCTTTTGTACAGATACCTAACAGTGGCTTCCACAGTCCCTTGTAAAGATTTATTGCCTAAAATAAACACAGTGCAATGCTGTGCTTTTCACAGCATCAGTATTGCATTACCTTAAGGTGGATGTACAGTTCTTGGGAGTACATGAAGTTTCATGCAATTCAGGTATGAACCTGGCCTATGTAATGCAACTGGCAGCAGTACCTGAGCTGCCTGCTAGGGCCAAGTGACCCTGCTGGATGGCTGTGGCCTCTCTCTCTCCCTGGCAGTACTGCAGGTGTACCCAGCACTCTTCTTGTTCCTCCTGGCTCCTTGCAGTATGTGAAACAGAAACTAACATTGAGTAATAGCTGCTACAAGGGCCAGCAGAACTTAGAATACAAAAACTAGGTCACAGAAGAATGCCAGAAGCTACCTTGATGGCTGCTGAGAGTTCACTGTTATGCAGCAAATAGGTTTCAGAGCTTTACCTGGCATTCACTATGTTCATGTACTAATTTTTAGTAGAACAAGTGGAGTTCTATTTTAAGATGGTGTCTGCGATGAGTTTTAGAAGCATTTCTAACACAATTTTGTTTCTCAGAAAGACACGAAGAGAGGACAGCAAACATGCTAGCATACATCTCCACACATTCTCCAAGAATTTGCTGGTTTAGTCTTGGTGGATGAGCTAAACAGCATCACAAAACACAGCAACACACTCATGTAATTCCATTACACAGTTTCGCACCAAAGACAAGATGTTTATGAGCAGCATCACTTTGATTACCCCCACTAGACCCTGCAGCTGTTAGGCATCACAATACTATTTTGTTAAGCAGAACTCTCCCTTTTTAGTATACAGTAAAAAGAAACAATTAAATCTGAAGACAAATGGATGCATTTTTATTACTGATACTCATATCTGGTTGATATAACAATGAAAGAGTTCTGCTCTAGCTACACAATTTGGACTTAAGAATCCAACCAAACTGCAGTGATGCTTCCCAGCAGGTCTCACCGCTCCCAGGCAATCTTCAGGTTTGGGGGCAGCTCTGCAGCACACAGCTCATCAAACTTTGACATATCCTTCACAGGAGTGCTATAGAAAGTCAGGACATCCTGCGCACTGCACATCAGGTGGAGCTGTGAGTTGGGCACAGCGTGACCAAGTTCTTCTGCTAGCTGGGTCAGGAGCTGATACTTCAGCCTCTTGTCTTTCAGGGATGTCTGCTGCCAGTTGCCAGCAAGCGATGGCCCACAGATCTCCTTGACACGAGCCTCGAGGATGCTCTGTATGTCCTTTGGAGGAAAATACTTTCTGCTGCGTGGCGGGGGACAGATCAGGCTGGGTTCTTTTTTTTCTTGTGGAATTACATTGTCTTCTCCTACTTCTTTCTCCTCCTTCCTGCTGGCATTAAAGAAAAGTATTTTCAGTCACTAAAGCGGTGCCCACACATTTAAAAACGCCTCCCAGCAGAGCCAAGTGCCTGCAACAGCGGACCATACCGCCCGCCCCAGAAGCAGCCCCGCAGCAAGCATCCCGCGCCCTCACCTGTGGCCGCCCCACAGCGCCCGCCGCGGCGTGCGGCCCAGCCCCATTCCCAGCCGCCGTCCGACCACTAGCAGCCCCATGGCGGCCGCCATCTTGCGAAGAAGCCTCACAACACCCTCCACACACCCGGCCGGAAGTGACGTTATACCTCGTGGCCGGAAATGACGTCAGCACCGCTTCCCGCCTTGCCTGACGGGAGCCGTAGTGCCGCTCCAGCGCTCTCGCCGTGGTTTGTCCTGTAGGCTGCGCTGCGGCACACGACGCCGTGACAAGGCCCGTTTTCCTGTGTTTTATAGGAGCGAGAAACAACGCTCGCTGTAGTGAACGTTGATTTGCCCTGGTCGTAAATGAGCCAGTCAGAAAGAAGCGTCGGGGCACAAGATGTCACTTCAGCTGCGTCTCACGCAGTGTGCATGGCGGCTGTCCTCCGCACAAACGGGAATTACGTGGCAAAGCCACAGCGCTCTTTTTCTAAAGGGGGAGAGGGTCTTTTGCTGGATGCCTTTCCCACTCTTTGCTGCAATGAGCTGCTCGCTGTGAGCAGAGCTTGTTGGAATTCAGGTGTATGGAGATGTATGGAACCACAGCTGAACTAGAAGAGAGGTGCTGTGCCTGACCCTGCTGTTGGCTCCTGAGTGCCTTCTGACAAGTCACTCAGTTCATGATTTACTGGTTTACCATGGTCAGGATGGGATAAATGCATACATGAATTCACAGCACTGGAATGGGCTGTCTGGAGAGGTTGTGGAGTCTCCTTATTGAGATAATCAAAACCTGTTAGGATGCTTTCCTGTGCAGTCTTCTGTAGGGAGCCTGCTTGAGCAAGGAGACTGGGGGATCTCCAGAGGTCCCTTCCAATGCCTCAATTCTGTGAGTCTGTGATTACCCAGTGGTTGGATCTCTGTGATGCACTGCCTCTAAAATGGGTGGCTGTTAACAGGGTGAACACTGAAGTTACAGGAAAATGATTCTCCTGCTTTCCTTGCTGCAAGAGCAGTAGGCACCAACAGCTGGGACGAGCAGAGCACCAGGTTGTGGCTGCACAAACTGGGTCCTGGGTGACCTCATCTCCATGACAGGTAGGTGACCCTGAAGGTGGAGTTCTGCGCTCCACTTGCAGCTGAAGGAATGAGCTTTCTAAGAGGGAATGAGCACCTTCAGGCTTGTATGGTCTTCACAGGTTGGTGGACTGTCCCAGGGTCTTATCAGGTGATCAGTGTAGCGTGTTGCCTAGCAAACATTCTTTTGTTTACTTTAGTTCTGCTGTTTCTACCTGTATAGCAAATAGAACTACATTTTATTTTTCACAATGTTTAGCATTTCTTTCATAACGGCTGTGTAATTGTGCTTTAAGAAAGCTTAACATTGCTATCAAGTACATAACAACATACCACAGGTCAAACTGTGGGCCTTCAACATCAACATAATTATTCAAATTATGCCAGCTGGGTAGAAATTATTCAAATTAAGCCAGCTTAAGTTCTTTACAGAGAGAATGGTGAGGTGCTAAAACAGGCTGCCCAGAGAGGTTATGGATGCCCCGTCCCTGGAGGTGTTCAAGGCCAGATTGGATGGGGTCCGGGGAGCCTGGTCTAGTATGAAATGTGGAGGTTGGTGGCCCTACATGTGGCAGGGTGGTTGGAGATTCATGATCCTTGAGGTCTCTTCCAACCCTGGCCATTCTGTGATTCTGTGACCAAAATCCCTCCCTGCACGCTTATGGCTAATTGCTCTGAAAATATTACAACAATGGCACCAAGGAAAATAGTCCTCACATTTCTTACGCTACCCTAACTCAGTGTCTGGCGGCCTTGTCAAGCCAAATGAAACACACAATTCTCTCTAGGAAGGATAAACTTTTCATGGCAGTGTTATTTATGTATGCTGAGTCCAGTGTAGAGCTTCTCATGTACACTCTGAGCTTTTCTCAGTGTCTGTCTTCAATTAGCAGGATTAACATCACCAGTTTTATCACTACTGGCTTATTAAACCTCCTCAGGGTTTCCCATACTCAGCAACAGCAACACTTTGTCTTAACGTTTATGTGTGCTGCTGAGAACCACAGAGGCATGAAAAATTTATAAAGAATAAGGGTTTGTGAGATACATTGGATTTTAATTATTGTTTTATTCACACAACTAAAGATACAAGTAGGTTTTATAATTCAGGATTTGACTGCAAAATGGGGTATTAGGGTATCTATTTGAGTTGCTAGGGAACTACTACTACTCTGGGAATTAAGTTTAAACTAGAAGGAGAGTGGATTTGTGATTCAGTGTTAGTTGTTTCTTGTGTGGAAAGAATTATGTTTTTTGAAAGTGTAAGTGAAAAAAAGAATATCCCCTTTGTAAATTGTGGAAGCCAAGGTAGGAAAGTAAACTAATCCATTTCCAGTTTTGTTCAGGGAAAGGGAAATTAGGTTTCCTTGTTTTTCTTTCATTTCTGAGCATCTTCCATCTCGTGGAGAAGGACAGGACAAATGCAGATTCCTGTGCTTTCAATAGGTATAGCTGGCAGTGAAAAGTGACTGCGTGGCAGCTGTGTCAGTCTTTCCAGATGTGACATACTGTCCTCTGCAAGCCAAACTATTAATCTGAAAAAGAAAAGGAGGAGACCCATTAGCACAGGGTGAGGAGGAGATGTAGAATGATAGTAGGAATGAACAAAGGGCATAAATAAGGGAAATAAGAAAACTTCTGAATTCACCAATGATAATTATGAGCTAGCTTAGTTTTGTGGCACTGCCAAGGCAGTCCCCAGCTATATCTCTCTGGGCGCCATGTGATTATACAGAAAAGGGAACAATTTTTTCAGACACAAAGTAGTTGTAAATCCACTTTACAAAACAAAATTATCCTGTTGCCTCCAGTAACAACCTCTGCTGCTTCTTGCATTAGGCTTCTGTCACACCAACCAGAATAACAACTTTGGTGCAAGTGGAGCACCAGTAAAGGGCAGGGGTAAGAGGAACCTATGGAATTTGGCAATGTATCTTCCTCTACAGTGACCAGCACTTCTCTACATCAAGGGGGAAGGCCTCATACCTGAGCCCGCTTGCAGAAGGCTTCCTGTGCAGCCTTCTTGTTCTCCGATTTGCCAAGCCATGCTGCCAGGGCAGAGGCTTGCAGAGCTCTCCCATATGAGAAGGTCAGTTTCCAAGGCTTAGGCAGAGGGGACTGATTCATAGCATTCAGGTTGAGAGAAGCCTCCTCTTCACTTTGACCTCCAGACAGGAAGCAGATTCCTGAAAGACAGAGACCTCAAGACTTAGAAATAGGTTGTTCCAGCTGCCACAGTTACTGACTGACAGAGAAGTCAGCGTATCAGATATAGGAGCAAGTCTAGTAAAACTGAAAGGTTTTTTTTTTTTTTTTTTTTTTTAACTATAGGAACTAATCAAGAATCACCAGGAACAGCAGCAGGAACAGTTCGGAGGAGGGTAGTGACAGTTGCTACAGCCACATCCTGAGGGGTGTACTTCTTGGGGCAGGAATGCCCAGCTGTCACCATGTTAGGTTTCAGCAGTGTTCCTTCCAGGTAGACATGATGGTCATTCAAGGCCTTGTAGACAGCAGCCAGAACCTAAGGATTGAAAAGGAGGATTGAATACAAACCTGTGCTCAAATCTTTACCTCAACCTGCTGTGGAAAGACAACTTATTCCTTGGGAGCATGAGAAGATCAAATCATATCTCACTTTCTCTTAGAATTTATTACAGGAGGTACAGCCCTAAAGAGCCCTAGAGAACTTTTGCAATACCAGAATACCACTTTTCATTTTGGCAAGGGTTGTTCCCTGCAACTGAGGTACTGAACAAAGAGTAAAGGTCTTTATCTGCAGTGTATCTTTTTGAGGTTAAGAATGTTTATATTGAGAGTTTGAATGGAAATCCAAAATCATGGATTCTACTACAAGTTTGCTAATTACTTCATATGAATTCATGTAGTGCAGTTTTGAAGGAACTTATTGTTTAAAAATCCTTGAGAGCAATACAAACTCTGCATAAGAATAACTAGTGATTTGTGAGGGCAAGGAGAGAATAAGGAATCTCTTACCTTTTCTGTGACATACTGACAGCGTTGGAGATCATGGTCACCATCAGGTAAGACTTCTGGCTCTACAATTGGCACCAAGCCATTCTAAGGAAGGAAAAACATGGGAGTCTTTGTAAGTGTGGAAGTAAAAACTCTACGTGCTGTCTGTATTGTGTTTGGTGGTATTTCTTCTTTCTGTACTGCCCATCATCCTCATGTTTCCCAAAACCCTTACAGAGATCTGCCTTTCAAGATCTCTAATCTGTTATCACAGGGAACCACAAGGAAGGGGCAACAGAATCTCAAGAAATTTTGCTGGAGGTTGGATACCTGCTGGCAGATGCTGGCATAACGTGCCAAGGTGTTGGCATTCTCTTGGATAGCAAGTTGAGAGGGTGTTGTGCTACTGATCTTCAACACTGCACGCCACTTGCCAAAATCAACACCATCTTTCTTGTACTGGGCACAGCGCTCAGCCAGTTTGTCAAGTCCTGCAGATGAAAGAACAGTGCTTCACTGAGAGGATAGGACACAGCTCTGAAACATGCCATGACACCAGCCATGGCTGCTGCTCATCTCCTGCTGAGTTGCACCATGGCTTTCACTGTATCACTCACAACTGAGGCTTCTGAGATCTCACCTTACCTTGGATGGTGGTTTCTCCATTTGTTCCTGCCAGAGGTGCAGTGCCTGCATCCAGCTGAAGAGACAGCAAAAAATAGGAAGGGTTACTAAATGACAGAAGTTACCCAGAGCGGGCCTACCTTTGCACATTGAGTGAGTGAAATACAGGCTGAATACACTACTAGTGTAAGGGAGGGAAGGGGTGAAGGGAAGGGGTGCAGCAAAGGGGAAGAACAGAATTGAATTAGATATAAATGGCAATATGGATTTGGTTGTAGGGGATGGCCTAAGAGTTCTGTTGGCATGGAAGGATATAGTTCACCTTTATTCCCACCACCATCCCCTTTTCTTTGATGATAGCTGGAAATGGCTTTCCACTGCTGTCTTTCTGATAGAGAGTCTCGTGGAAAAGGATCACTCCTCCAATGCTCTTGCTGATGGAAGCATCAGAAGAGAAAAGGATTTCTCGAAAAGCACGACGATTCTCCTCTGTGTTCTCCACGTTGAT